AATATTTTGACTACCATGCTTTCTCTCTCCTTATCATTATTCCTACTAATAAGTATTTGTGTCTGGTATAGTGTGAACCATGGTTAGATCATCAAAGTTGCTGGCAGTGTGTAAAATCTATCATGTAAAGTCATTTCCACTAGAAAGACAAACACTGAAATAATGGGGGGAAAGAACAGGATAAAATGAGCCAAACAGGCAGTCAGCTGGCAAAAATGTTTTTTGACTCTTCATCTGAAAAAGGATCAAACCTGGTCTGATCTGAAATAAAAACCAAACAACAAACAGTGAAAAAGCAACTTAACATGTAAGAAATATCACAGTTGCTTATTGCCAAGCATGTGAAATTCCACACAGAGGCAGGACAGACCAACCCCCTGGCATGACTCAGTGCAAATGTTGACTTCAGCCAGTGGAACCAGCTCACGTTGTTCAATTAGTGGCTTCCTGAACAAAGAGGGGAAAAAAAATAGTGAGAACTATTATGAATAAGATCCCTATAAAACTATGGATTTAATTGCTCTAATTGCTCAAAAAATGAGATGTTGAGTGCCTACTGCAGACTGGAACAGAAGAGACCTGGAGAAAAGAAATTGACAGGTAAATATTTCCCCTTTTCTTGCATCCTCATGTGCCCACACAAGTCACTGGGAGCTTCAGATGCTGTCTCTAAGTCACAATAGAAGCAGGAGCTGTTAATACTCTATGCTCATCATTTTTGTGACCTGCTACTTCAGGACAGCAATGATGGAGGAAAGTGGAGTTTACATGATGCTCCTGTGTTGCTCTAGACCTCTTAGACTAAGCTGTCCCTGTGTTCATCTTGCACCAGAGTAACAGCTGCTTAGTGTCCTAAGCAGCACAGGAAACTGGTGTGATCTCATTCTATGGGAACTTTAGGAGACCTCAGTAACACAGGCTTCACAGGGAGCCAGGGACAGGGCAGCTCTGCTGTCCAGTTTCAAACTGAGCTGTGTAATTGTTCACCTGGAGTTGTAAGTGCTGGTTAGAAAACTGTTAAGATCAAATAGTTTTGATCTTAAAAACCAGTTGATTTTAATAAGGAGAGACCAGGAAGCCCTCTTTACTGGAAGACAAGAAACAAAAGAATATACAGAGAACCTGGAGCAAATTCTGTCAGTACCATCCATATGAATGGGGTTGCTAATGCTTGAATCATTCAAAATGAGATGAGAATCAGCATTTGGAGAAGAATGGAAGGAGTTATCTAGCACTTGCTAGAGGAAGGCTATTTAAATGCCATCCCTTCTCTGTGAATGGTTTACTCAGTTGATCTTGCCTACATTTTCTATGAGGCTAAAACAGAGCTTCTTCCAGGTGGTGAAGACAAAGAAACTGTCCCCAAATTCTCTTTGTGGAACTTGTGGGGAGATCCAGGGTGACTTTCTGCAGAAGTGGGGCTGGGTGTACCACTGGCAACAGTTCTGTGAGCTACAAGGAGAGGAAGAGCAGGGTTCAGGTGGAAGTACACTGAGGAGTAAAGGTTCAGCTGCCCCTGTGTGATGAGGCACATCCTGTTAAGTACCTTATAGCACAGATGAACTGTCCAGCTGTTCACTTGACATTTGGCTGTTCCCCTCAACACCTGGCCACAATAGTCCATGTGGGTGTCCTGTAAAAGCACCTTCACACTCCAGCCATAGCATCTTCTCTTAATGTTAAAACTAAGTGTGTTAAAACTAAGTGTGTAAAACTAAGTGCACCTGAAGTGCCAAAGGTACTGTTCTCTACAAACCTGGCACTGCAAAGGATTTGGTTTTGCAAAACAAGGCTGAATTTCTCTGGAAGCTCCTAGTCCCAGAAGCAAGGCTGGTGTCTGCCTCCCTGAGGCTGCCGGCCAGCACGGCAGCTGGGACACGGCCTGGCTGGGCTGAATCCACCAGGTCATTTCCCAGAGGCAGCTACTAGGTAAAAAAAATAGGTGCCTGGAGATAAGAAGGCATTGCATCTTATTACCAAGTCCCCGAGAAGGCAAACATCCCTCTGTCTTTCCTCTCAAAAGGATGCTTTATTATAATTACATATCACTTTATTAGGCAGCTGAAGCAGAGTTGATGCTAATGAAGTGCTGCTGTGGTTGAGTCTGTCACTATTTTTGGACCTGCACATCTCCTGCACTTTTGATTGGGTGAGTGAGGCTTTGGATGTCTCTGGCTTCTTCTGTGGGGGATGCTCAGTGAAAAGCAATGACTCAGCGAGCCAGGACTGCAGAACTGTTTACATGCTCAGAATGAGAAAAGCTGCGGGACAGCGAGAACGCACAAAAGCTCTTTATGTGCTGGAAGTATTTTTCAGGTAGTGGACAGTATTCTCTAGATCAAAAAACCCTTCTGAATATTCACTTTGTCTCTGTGTTGGTCAACAGGACAGTCTCCGTTTTTCCTCTTTTCCATCCCCAACCCCAGAGCATTTCAGAAAAAAGACAGGTTTCACAGTACTCAAGGAAAATACTTTAGAGGTAATGCGAGACAAATCACAGCTGTCCACTGGCTGCCTTTCCTTAGGAAAGATGAAGCTTTTGCTGTCTCCATTTTCTGCAGCAAAGCCTGAGGAGCTGTTTGTGCAAAGGCACGATTTGGTGTTCAAATCTGCCTCACCAGCTCAGCCCCCAGAAAAAGACCTGCTCCCACGCCCCTTTGTGCTAACACCAACATTCATCTGGTCCCACAGTGACTCAGTTCAGGCATCTAAACAAGCACAAAAATATTCACTCCTCTCCCACCCCACGTCACAGAGCTGTGTTCCTGGTCACCACCAGGTCAGACAAGTGACAGGACTGGGGTGAGGGAGGCAAGGGCAGGACGTGAGATGGTGTCTCCATACCAGGACCTATTAAGACAACCAAGATCTTACCAAATAACTTCCTGGCAGCACACTGGGAGACAAAGCCTCCCCATTCTATAAACAAAGTTAATGGTTCCAAGTATCATGTCATGTCTTCTGATACACAAATGAGGAATGCGTCAGAGTAATCAACAATTATAGAAAATACCATTGAATCTAAATGCCTGGGTATTCTTTTGTTACAACTTCCCCATTCCCAAAGGGGAAGGGAAGGACTGAAGCACTAGTACCTTTTTAGTGTTCCCTCAAACCACAATCCTGTGTCCAGATCTTAGTTTGCAGACTTAGCCACACCACATGCTGCTATAAACTATTTTGATCAACACTTTTCCCATTTAAGTGTTCCCATGTACAATTTTTACTTTAATTCAGCTTTCTAAGCCTATTGGGTTAAGATCTTCCTTTGGTAGTATCAGCAAACTTATCCTAGTACCAGCAGTGAGATGCGTGCCACGCTCTTCTATCTTTAGAGTTGATTTATGTCAACAGGCCAGTCCCACCACTGCAGTAAAATCTCACATGCATTTCAGAAACCTCTGACTACACCCATTATCCACCAAACCACACACGAAAGAAGATGTAACTCGTCACAGGCGTAGTTCTCATGACAGGAAAAAAAAAAAAACATCCTCCTGGAGCAGCACAGGGCAGAACCAGTTCTGCATTTCGACACAGCTTAAAACGGCTAAACCACACTCGTATTGGATGTTAATTATCAAGAGGAAGATGGCAGAAGAGTAACCGCTGCTCTATACTCCTTTAAACACCAGCCAGCATGAGCTGTACATGACCATAGCCTCTTGTTGCAAGAATCCAGAGCCGGATGTTCTGCAGCTATTTGGGTTTTTTTCGTTTACTCTGGAGCCCAGGGCCCTCCTGCCCCATGTTGCAGGTTTCCACCTTGCTGAGGGCCACGTTACTCCCCTTTTCCAGAACACTGTATGAATTTGATGACATCTCCACTCCCCATCAAGTTTGACCCCACTGGCCTCTTTCAGCTGAGAATGGGAAGACAGATGGTGCAGTTATATAAGCTTTGTTCCCTGCATAAGTCTGGCTAAGGAAGAGCTCAAACCTGCCAAGTTTGTTATTACGTACATCCTCAGTTTCTCTTAAGACCAGAGCCATTATTACCCAAGCCTCCTCTTCCAGATATTTGGTCACTGACCTCAGGAGGCAAAGAAAACAGACAGGACTTTCTCGACTTGCTTTCTGCCAGTTTCTGAGATAGGAAAAATTGCTGAGACTCTAGAACTAGTCTCCCAGGACAGAAAAATACTTGCTGGTCACAGAAACAGCTTCTGCTTCTTAATTAATTTCTGAGCCTACAGAATTAACAATCATGCTTTTGCTTTTTGATCTAAGCAGGAGTTGTTCCCAACTACAAGCATTACCTGCCACACTGATCAACAAGGAACACGAAAGAAAGACATGGGATTTGGGAAGGGACATAGGTTCCAAATTCTGTTATGGTTCCCCCAAGAAGTTACTGTGCAGAACTCTGAACATCAGAGAATTTCCAGTGTTTCCACTGCAAAATACAAGGCATAGCTCCTGAAATACCTCCAAAAAGCTGCTATAATTGCTGAGGCTGCTGTGGTGATTGATGCATCAAAGCTGTTTGTCAGAAATACCATCTCAAAGCTGCACACAAGCTTTAAAATGCTAATGAGGTACCTAGCAGTGGTTCCTTGCTATGTCCTGGCTCCTCACAGAAGACACCTGAAGCACTAAGGGTGCACAGGAATATGCCAGGGCAGACATTTGACTGGATCTTTATTCTGGAATGCATCCTGATGGGGAATCAATTCAGTATTGTATATCCTCTTTCCCAAAAACAACTTCTGTTTCCCTAACTCATTCCTAGTTAAAAAACCTGAAATTCAAGTGCTAATTCCCACCTGCTTGTACTAAACAGGAAAAAAATCCCAAGCAAACCCAAAACACAATCTAACCCCAAACAAACAAAACCCCCACATCCAAACCCTTATACACTCAACGTTCTAGTAATCTACAGGCAGCCCCTCAGAATTCCATGCCACAAGCAGCTTCCCCATCTGCTAAATAACACACACTGCAAGATTTGTGCAACATGTTCTAGCATGGATTGCAATGAAAACACCAGAGGCCCTTGCTTTTTTTTTTTTTTTCCTTTCAAATTTAATGTGGTGCTTTCAGAAGAGTTAGAACACCAATTTGTGAGGATAGACTCCATTGGAGAGAGAGAATGTGGAGCGTAGGTACCCACGGAGCTGAGGCACCTTCTTGATCCGTGCAAGGATCTGTGCGTCCACGGCCTTCTGGTCAGCCTTGCGCTGCTCTGTGAGCTCGTATTTCTAGAAAGTACAAAGAGTGACATGAAAACCCTGCAGGGTGAATTCAGACTCTTCTACAGAGATGATAAAACTCAGGGCAAACCCCGAGTTCTGGCGTTTTCAGGAAATCTTTTCTACGTTTGTTCTAAATATGGGAAAGGTAGCAGGAGACCGGAGGTGGCAGAGAGAACTGAAGCCACTCTGGCTCAGGCTGCAGAGCCTGGAGCCAGCAGCATGCTGTTGGCAGCATCCAAGCAGTAAAGGTGTTTCTTGGTCAAAAGAGGACATTTAACTGAAATAATTATTGCTGCTGTTCTGCCTGAGTAATCCCCAAATTTAAAAGGGGTTTATGTCAGTGCTGCTGTATTAAGTAATTTTAATGGCATCACCTCATTTTATTGAGGACCACTTAAAACTCATTGCCCATTCGTTGCATGGCATTTACCCCTTTCCCACCTGGCTCTAATTAAAAAGGGCATTCAGAGAGAACTGGGCAATCATGTTCCTTACTTCTTTTTCAGTGTCAAAGATCTCGCCTTCCTGGTGCTTGGGCTTACGCAGCCTCTTCTTCTTGAAGTACGCGTCAGTGAGATGTTTGGGGATTTTCACTCCAGAGATATCAACCTTTGTAGATGTAGCAATAACAAATTTCTGATGGGCCCTACGCAGAGGGACACGATTGATAACCAAGGGTCCTGAGGGCAAAGAAAAGAGCAAACAAGGTTAGCTTTTCTGGCAACAGACAGCGCTTCTAAGTTGAACTTCTGCAGAGAACATGATTAGTTTTGTTTCTTCAGAAATGCCTACAGCTAAAATTTGAATCATCAACAAAGTCTTGTCCCCACAGTCTCTAGAAAAGCTAGCAGGTGCTTTTATCAGGTATTGAAGCTTAATTATCTCCCCTCCACTTCCCTGGAAAGACACAAAAAGAGATTCCACAATTCCATGAATACATGATGCATCGAACCATCACATGTTGATCTGTAGCACCACTAACCCCAGGGACAAACCTGAATTTAACAGTACCACTGCCCCTCCCCACCCCCCCCAATAAAATAAAATAAACCCAAACAAAAACCAAACAACCCAAACCCACAAATTCCCCATGAGAAACAAGAAAATAATCACACGTAAGTAAGTTTGTTACCTGTAACGAGCAAAAGGCCGGTATCAAGCTGCTTCAAGAAGACGACACGCTGAAAAGAGATGTGATGTTAGTCCTCAGGTCCCAGCACCCTGAAGTGCTGCACCCAGCCTGGGACCACGCCCCACCCTCAGCACAGCACCCAGCCCCAGGCACAACTCTGCCACTGCAGAAGTGACCGGCACAAGAGCCAAGCTACCCAGGCTACTCAGAGCACAGCTTGGCCAGTTACCACAGCTACAGCAGTCTGGGACTCTCCTTTCTCATTTGAGGCTGAACAAAACCAGTTAGTTTTTTTAAATCTTTGCCATTTCTAGAGGACATCAAGACAGCCCTCTCATCACCTGAATTCTTCATACAAGTTTAAAGGCAGGAACTAGATGAAACCCAGAAGGGTATCACATAGGGGCACCCCAGTTATGTTTTATTCTTTCTGGTCAACTTTTCCTTCCCTGAACAGCATTCTTTTAAGTGATGGGACACCAAGGCCAAAGAATTCAATAAAATACAAGCTGTCAGTTAAGACCTGTTAGCAAACATCATGAAGGTGAAGGACACAGCTTAATGTAACCACCGTTACCTTGGTAATTAGATTAAGAATGGAAATGTATTTTTCCTTTGCAATACCTAGTGTAAGACAGAGTTTTAGCCTTGTTGCAACAGCAGGAGCAGACACTGAGTCTGCCACCCTGCAGTGCAAACCTAAACACTGCAGGAAGATTCCCTTAATTTTGTCTAAGCAGCTGGCCTAGCCTGTTTCACTTCCTGCTCTGGGTAGAAAAACTTTCAAGACCATTTTTCCTAAAGGCAGGACGAGAGAAATAATTGGGATAGAGTTCTCAGAAAAGCAGATTCACATCTTGTGGCTGAGCAACATCCCGTGACACCAGCTGGTGAATTTGGTATGCCTCTGCTGCATCAAAGCAGCTTCAGAGAGAAATGCTGCAAAGCCACTGTGACAGTCCCTGGGGAGAAGAGCACAAGAAGCAGCTCCATGTACCTTGCCCCGGTGGCGGCCAGTGAGCAGGATCAGAACAGTTCCTGGAGTAATGGAGGCCCGCAGCCTCCTCTTGTGCTGGGAAAAGGGCTTCTTGCCATGACTCAGAAGCTTGCGAGGAACATCCTCAGTGGGATAGTATCTGGGCTAGGAAAGAGAGAAGCAAAACATTGCACCACCCTTTGTTCCACAGGACAGAAAGCTTTCACTACAGCTTAGATTATTCCTTTCGTAAGAGATACAGTGACTTTTCCAAAAGACATTTTTCCTGCTGCAACCAGCACTCCAAAAACACACAGAGTATCTTCTGCACAATATGCAACAGCAGAAGTTGAGCCCAGCTTTGTGTTTCTGACCACGTTCCAGTCCAGCACAGCCACACAATTGGCAGAGCAGAACCTGCTCTTGCCCCACTACCCCTTCCCTGAACCACCAGCATCCCCCAAGTACAACAGCTGCTGGCTCTGTACCTAGAGGAGGTCAGAACCACCAGTCAGGTGGAGCAGGGCACAGCCTGAGGCTGCTGTGTGCCCCAGCCCAGAGACACACCATCTAGCCACAAGTGACCCATGACAGCCTGTACCTGCCAGCACCCCAGGCCCTGTCCTTACCATTTTGCGGATTTTAACCACACGGCTGCCTCCGTTCTTGTCTCCACCGACCGGCTTGGTGATGGTTGCACGGGGCTTCTCCTTCTTTTTCTTTTCTATCTGTAGGCCAAGAACACAGAAAACACATGAAATCCCAAACCAAACGCCCCATGAAAATGTGGTTATTTTAACACAGTAGCTCCCCTCCTACCTTTGTCTCAGGAGCCGTGTACTTGCGCTTGTACAGCGCCTTCCTGGCGTACATGGCTGAGCGGGAATACCTCCCGATGCCGCGGGCCAGGACAGGGTTCCGGCTGGCATGCTGCTTCCTACCCCTCTTCTTCTTGTCACCTGCTGCCTTCTGGGTCGATTTCTGCTCAGCTGGCTTCTTCTCACCTGGCTTCTTAGCGGGCGCCTTCTCGCTTGGCTTTTTCTCACCCGCCATCTGTGGATCCAACCGACACAGAAACCAGGGCTTATTCCCCCGTGTGCAGAGGAGAGTTTAAGTTGCAGAAACAAAACAGAAGAACCGGAGCTGGATCCTTTACACCGCCCTGACAGCTGTCAGCCCCCTCTTACAGCCCTGGCACACCAAGACGCTGCAGAGGAGGAGCATCCTGCCCGCTCTCCCGCGCTAGTCAACGGAGCTGCACTGAATTTTGTTCAAACCAAAGGAAACGCAAGGAAACGCCGCGGCCCCTCCGTCCCCGGGGTTGGGCTCCGGTTTTCCTACAGCTCCGCCAGAGCTGCCGGGCC